GCCGCCGCGCTCCCAAGTGGCGCACTGTAGCAGTGCGCCACCGGGCCAGCCCTAATATATGTTTCTTGACTTAAAATTTATTTTCAGTTTTATTAGAAAATCTTGTAGTAAGAACTTGTTCACTTTGTAATTGGTAAAAAATAGATTTTGTTATATTTCCACACACTAAATCTTAATTTATATATTCATTAAGTCTACAGTAATTAGTCTAGGTAGGGGAATTTTCTAGTCAGTTTGGATTCCATTATTATATAGATAAAAAATCTAGTATGGAGGGCCGGCCCGGTGGCGCACTGCTACAGTGCGCCGCTTGGGAGCGTGGCGGCGCTCCCACTGAGGGTTCGGATCCCACATACAGACTGGCCGCTCGCTGGCTGAGCAAGGTGGGGCGCAACACCGAGGGTTGCGATCCCGTTGCCGGTCATGAAAAAAGACAAAAAGGAAAAAAAAAAAAATCTAGTATGGAGTAACCATATGGCTAGATTTAGGATGACTTCATGTTCTTAAAGAATGCATCTAAAAGACTAAACTTCAGTTGGTTAGAGCTCTGTGTTATGTAACATCAAGGTCAAGGGTTTGGACCCCCATACTGGCCAGCTGCTGCCCCAAAAAAGCACCTTGGTATGACAACACTGTGCTCTAACCATCTGAGCTAACCAGCCAGCCATTGTAAGGACTTTTGATCCTTAAAAGTACATTGCTCTTAGATTTCTACCTTTGAGACACCAATGCTTTTTTACATGTTTATTGAGGTATAACATATCTACAATAAAGTACACTAATTTTAAGTGAACAGCTTGATGAATGTTAACATATGTTTATAGCCACGTAACTACCATCCAGATCAAAATACACAATATTTGCAACATCCCAGAACACTCTTCATGTACTTCACAGTCACTGTCTCTACCCCAAGAGGTAACCACTATTCTGACTTCTGCCATCTTAGGTCAGTTGCCTGTTTTTGAAACACATAAAGTGAAGTCATATATATTATGTACTCTCTTGTGTCTGGCTTCTTTTTTTTTTTCTTTTTTGCAGCTGGCTGGTACAGGGATCAAACCCTGGACCTTCGTGTTATCAGCACCACGCTCTGAGCAAACGGCCGTGTCTGCTTCTGTTGCTCAACATTTTGCCTGTAATCTTCAATGAAGTTGTTGCATGTGATTGCTTACTTTTTAAACAGTTTAAATATTTACATTTCAGTAGGTTTTTGGAATCCCCTCCTGTAGGGAAAATATAGCAAAATGGTCAAGGTCCCTCAGGTGTTCAGAACCTTACCGAGTATTTGATGTAAATATGCAGGTGTGCCCAGGTGTTCCTTGGTTATTGTCTAATGTAATTGAGCATGTGTGCTCAGGTGTCCTGGGTTATTAGACTTAAGTATAAAGGACGAGTGGCTCTGATTCACAGGGTCCCCCACCCCCGGGGGTCCACAGGGAGGCCGCTGCTACTGCTGAAGACTTGTTACAAGCTGCTGCTGCTGCTGAGGAAGCTGAGCTCTGAGCCCCTGTCATCTGCCATCGGCTCTCGGGATCCTTCCCAATTACATAGCTCGCGACCTGCTTGTGCGGGGTCTGGTGACCCAGGAGGCATATGAGGGGTCTGTGGACCCAGCCTGGCATGTGAGGGGTCTGTGACCCAGTCTATACAATGGGTCTGAAGGGTCTGAGCCATAGCCTGACACCACCCCAAAAGGAAGGTAGTACTCACCCATGTACAGTATTTTCAGTGGTTTGTAATCTCTGTAGATGAAGTATTAATGTGTCTTGGTCTGTTATATCTTGTGATTAATTATATCTGTCTTTTTTATTTTATTTGTTTATTGCATAAGTTTAGGGTGGGAGTGTGACATACAAAGAAGTTGAGAAAAGATGTGATATGTGGTAACCAAATTTTTACCTAATGTTAAGTAACCGTTTTCCTTGTCTTTATTAGTTATGCAGAAGGGGCTAAAAGCGGTGGGAGTGTGACATACAAAGAAGTTGAGAAAAGATGTGATATGTGGTAACCAAATATTTACCTAATGTTAAGTAACCGTTTTCCTTGTCTTTATTAGTTATGCAGAAGGGGCTAAAAGATAACTTTGCTGATGTCCAGGTCTCTGTAGTTGATTGCCCTGATTTGACTAAGGAACCGTTTACCTTTCCTGTAAAAGGTAAGCAGTTTTTGCTATTAGCTTTTGTTTTTGAGTTAAAATCTTCTCCTGAAACCAGAATTATTTTTAAGGGTCATCTTAAATTACCTACAAAAAAAGGATATTATCACAACTTTTAGGCTAAATTGTACTTAATATCTGTGCTGTTTTCTAATATTGGTCAAATTTCATTTTATAACCTTGTGGGAAAAGATTGTGTTTTATGCACTTTTGTAACCTTTACAGGTTATGTAATAGCTATTCAGTAGACTAGAATCCTTGATATCACATGGGAGTTCTGTTTTTGATTGCTCAAGTGATTTACAGAAACTTACTTCACTGTTTTTATTTTATTTATTCAAGACCAGAAGGGATCTTAAAAGCATTGTATTTGAATTATCTATTAAATATTCAGAACCCTTCAACAAATTTGCCAATTAACCATCCACTGTTTGAAGTGAGAAGAAAGGGAAATTAATATTGGCTGAATAAAATAATTTGTCAGACAGTGTGATAGATACCTTTATCTGATGTCTTAAATTTTACAGTAACACTGCAAGGTAAGTACTAGCCCCAGTTTATAGGTAAGAAAACTGAAGCTTGAAATAGGCTAAGTAAACAGTATGAGTCCTAATCAGGATTTCACATGAAGGACTGTCTGCTGTGATGAGGAATTCGGAGATAAACAGAATGTTCTTTTATTATGTAATTAACATCTTTGTTAAAAAGTAGTTTGCCATAGAAGTCCTAGACACTAGTTCTATCTCTGCCACATACAGATTACATTACTTTGAGTAAGCCACTTAATGTACCTGGGCCTCAGATACATTAAAATGGGGGGATTTGAGTTGAATATCTTTCCAGCTTAAATAGTCTTTGATTAAGTAGTTGTGTGAATTCTAGAAAGTTTGTGTACCAGATAGCAATTTTTCTTAGCACTTTGAAAGCATTTAGCATAATACTTTTTTTATAGCCATGTTTCTTCCAAATATGAAAGTAATATATTCTCCCTGCTAATTCATTAGTTAATTTAAGTAAAAGTCAGAAAACATGGAAGAGTACAAGGAAGAAAAAAGAATGTTGATCTTGGGGCTGGCTGGTTAGCTCAGTTGGTTAGAGTACTGCCTTATAATACCAAGGTTAAGGGTTCAGATCCCCATGCCAGCCAGCTGCTAAAACAAAACAAAAAACAGAAAAAAAATGTTAATCTTAATTCTGTCATCTAAGGGGTTGTACTTTGAAGGAGCTTTTTGGTCAATAATTTGTGAGTCTTCAAACTGCATACTGGAAACCAGATACATATGTATATGTACATGTATGATCTTTTATAAACATAGTTATGCACTTTCTACATGAATTGGTCTTGATAAGGTCACCAATGACCGTGGTATGCTTACTAATATTATTTCATCTCTCTACATGTTTCATGTTGTTTGGCCATTGCTGCCTGACACTCTCCCCTTGGTTCCTTCTCTTATCTGCTTGGTTCTTTTGCCTCTTCTTCCTTGGTGCCTTTCCTTCCTTCTTTTTTCCTCATTTTACCTGGCTTCTTTTCCAGAATTCTTTCCTTAGAGTCTTCATTTTGTATAATCTCTCTGGGTTTTTCTATCTATACCTGTGGTTTTAATTGCTGACTGGATACAGCAACTTTGAAATCTGTATGTCTCACCTAGATCTCTCTTTTTCTTAGCTATTGATCAGTATTTTCAGCTGCCTATTGGACATTTCCACCTATATATGGTAAGGGCAACTTAACATCAATATGTCTAAAATTTAACTCATTACTTCAGCGTAGTTGCCTATTCTCCTTTCTTTGTTTTGGTTTTAGCTTCCTCTTCTCCATCTCTACAGTCACCATTATTAGCTTTTTTTTTTGGAAGCTGGTGGGTATGGGGTTCGTGAGGTTCCAAATTCTTGACTTTGGTGTTCCAAGGCTGTGCTCTAACCAACTGAGCTAACTGTCCAGACCTCTTCACTATTTCTTGTCTTTTTCCCTGGACTACTAAAAGAGTTCCCTAATGATTTCTTAAAACTTCAACGGGGCTGGTTGGTTAGTTAGATTTCATTAGGTTCAGCCTGGATGAGTGAACTTATTTGAAAATGAGAAATGGCTGAGAGCTTCAAGGCAGATTACATGCTTATGATCAACATTTAAATATATTGAGAGATGTGGGAGAATCTGTAACTAATTGACAAAGAAATATATGAAGAGATATATAAATCAACGAAATGGAATATTCCAAAGTCCTTTGGGGAGGTGGTGTTGTACTAGTTGCCCCACCATTGAGAGTTGGCTGAAACAATCTACTCTCTATGGAAGATAGGAGACTTTGTACAATTGCCTCTTTAAATGTACAAGACATTCTAAAGAGAAACCTGCATCTATTTTCATATTAAGAAATGACCCAAGGGTTCTTTCATCCCTGAGATGTGTTGATTTACAGATGTATTAGTCCATTTTTGTTGCTTATAACAAAATACCTGCAACTGGTGATTTGTAAGAAGATGAAATTTATTGCTTACGGTTTCGGAGGCTGGGAAGTCCAAACTCCAGGGAACACATTTAGTGGGTATCTTCTTTGGTGGTGGCTCTACAACAAATGCAGAGGTCTCATGTGGCAAAAGATGGCAGAGCAGAGAGAGATTCTCATGTGTTCTCCTTTTATAGCCTTCAGAACCACACTCCTGACCACCATTATTAATCTATTCACTGCAGCGTGGTCCTACAATCTAGTCACCTCTTTAAGCCCCCACCTTTCAATTACCATAATAGGGTTTCCCATCCTCAACAGTTACAGTGGGCATTAAGTTTTGGGGGGACATTCAACCCAAGGCAGCAGATAACCTGCACTTCTTAATCTAAATGGCATTTTAATTTTTCTCCAACCCTTGCAATAAGTGTGATCACCAAGATGCAGAACTTTTTCAGGAGCTAGTTTGCTCCATTGTTCTTGCAGACAATTTCTAATTTTTTTCTCTTTAAATTAAATTTTGATGTTTTCTTTTTGATTTAAAAAAAAAAGAAATTAGAGATAACTTTAGATGCTAGAAACTTTCTACTTATATTTTTAGTTAACCTCTCAGGTACAGCTAGACATAATTGGGAGACAGCACTTTTTAAATTTTTTTTAAAATAAAAAGTGTAGAGTGGAAAAAAGTTTTGTTTGAGAAATGGAAGTCTTGTCAATTTCATGCTAACATATTACACAGTACCTGTAATTGCTCTATTTCTTCAGCTATACAGAGGGTAGATGATATCCAGGGGCTCCTCTACAGTGTTGGTAGTCTGGTGGTGGTCCACACCATCCAACATGTTTCAAACCCTATGCCCACCTCTTGTGAGAACACATGAGCCTAATTACTTACCATTTTTATAAACAACCTTGGGAATAGAAAACGTTGACAGGATGATTTTCCAGTGTGGATCTAAAGAACTTATATTCTTCCAGAGCAAAATATTTTAAAATAGAAAACAATTTTAGCACACATGCAAAAAAACCCTCAAAAACAGATTTTTTTTTAAAGGACTAAGGCAATACAGACTAATAAAAGACAGCTCAGCCAATCAAAACTTTGGCTCTAGTTCTAGCACTTGTCCTATTTTAACTACCTGTGTCTCCAATATCATCATATAGTTGATGCCATAAAGGTAAAATAGGACAGGGGTACTAGCTATTTACATCTTCTAACTCTGCTATTTGTAAAATTCTTTATGAAAATGGAGAAGTTATACACTCTTAGTAAATTAAACTAGTAAATTTTATACTTAAATTATATGTTTGCCTATTTTTTAAGATGGCTTGTGTTTTTTTTAGGCATCTGTGGGAAAACTAGAATTGCAGAAGTAGGAGGTGTGCCTTACTTATTGCCTCTTGTAAACCAAAAAAAAGTAAGTGTACTTTTATTCTTCACATACACATGAAGATTGTAGAAGTTGGGTTGATTACTCTGTTTCTTGTTAGAAGATTCATTGATCAATGTGGAAAAGTGCTGATGAACTCAGTAATGAAAAGTAAACCAGAGACTTTGTGTAAGTTATGATTTAAATATGCTTTTCTTCTTTATAGGTTTATGATTTGAATAAAATTGCAAAAGAAATCAAGCTGCCTGGAGCTTTTATTCTTGGAGCAGGAGCAGGCCCATTTCAGACTCTTGGGTTCAATTCTGAGGTCAGCATATATAATTATTTTATTTTATTGATTTGACATTTGGTTTGTCTTTTTCCTTCTCCTGCCCTATCAGAAAGTCTACTTTCTGAGTGAATTGAAAGTGGTTGATGTCGTATCTCACTACAGATTTGATACTATTTAATATAGATTTGGATTACAGCTCCAATTGGTCCAACTGTAATGAAGCACTAAACTCTAGTTTCAGACTTTCTTAAGGTATAGATTTGGCCTTAAATGAATCCAAGCTCCAAGGATATTCTGCTGAAGGCTGTGGATTATAAAAGATTTTTATCCTCACATATACATCCTAATTTCTCTATAAACCTTTGCTTTTGGTATGAAGGCAGCTTTGGATCAGAAGATGAATGGAATATTTAATGATCTAGTCAACTCCCTCCTCCAGACCAAATGATAGGAAACTATTAGAGTAGTATGATGGTTATTTAGAAAAATTAATAGCTATTAATAGTATAAGTATTTCATATATACTAGTAATATATTACTATTACTGTATAAAAATAAGTTTCTTTGCATCTCATGAATAGAAGAATGAATGACCTCTTCTTTTTGCCCGTTCTCTCACAGCCTCTTCTGATGTGACCATTAGTCCGTAATCATACAAATTTGTGGGGGTGAGGTGGCCAGTTTACAAGTTATTTTTTGGTGGCTGGCCAGTGTGGGGATACAAACTTGTGACCTTAGTGTTATCCAACACTGCTCCAACCAAGTGAGCTAACCAGCCAGCCCTGGCTTACAAATTCTTTTGCAGAAACATTGATATAATATAATTTGCGTAGTGTTAAAGATAGAAAAAAAGTTTAAAATTTAAAATTAGATTTTTATCTCTTTTTTAATTGAAACATAGTTGATGGTACATTGTGAGGTACAGAGTTTAATATCAACACCTATGTGTAATATGTGATGCTCAAATCAGGATAATTAGCATATTCGACATTATACAATGTAATCTTTTTCATGGCCCTTTACCAATTCCTCCCTTCCCCACCTCCCCTTCCCCATTTCCCACCTCTGATAACCTCAGTACTGTTCTCTCCTTTTGAAAGTTCAATGTATTATTGTGATTGTTGTATCTTTCTTTCTTTTTGTTTGTTTGGTTTTTTTTTTAGCTCCCACCTGTGAGTGAGGACATGTGTTAGTTCTCTTTGTGTGCCTACTTATTTGACTTAATATAATTTTCTCTAAGCCCATCCATGTTGCTGTAAATGGCAGTATTTCATTCTTTTTTATGGCAGAGTAGTAGTATTCCATTGTTTAAATATAATACATTTTTCTTATCCAGCTATCTGACATAAAACTAGATATTTTAAAGTAAATGTAACAGTGTTATAGAAATACTGTAAGAAATACTATAGACATTTTATAATATGGTTTTCCAGTTTTTAGTATTTAAAATATTTCATATTTTATGTTTTCTTATTAGGACTTGAAATAAAATGTCTCAAAATCTGGGATAAAATATTTTGTTACCTTATTCAAGACATTCTCTTTGCATAGAGATAATACTAAGATTGACTAATTACTTTATTTTCTTTTCAGTTTATGCCAGTTATTCAAACAGAAAGTGAACACAAACCTCCTGTGAATGGAAGTTACTTTGCCCATATTAACCCTGCAGATGGAAGGTGCATACTAGAGAAATACAGTGAGAGATATCATGGTTTTGGATGTGCACTATTGGCTAATCTTTTTGCCAGTGAGGGTCAGCCTGGCAAGGTGATTTATGTCCATAAAAACACAGTATTCTCTAAATGTTTTCAGATAACTGAAAATTTGAACTTATATTGCCCCAAATATGGTTTTCCTAAGAAAATCAGAGCTACCAAAGTAAAAGCTCTTTAACTGAATTACGAAAGATTCAGAGAGTACTACAGGCTAAGTGAAAGTCTTATTTAAATCTGATGTTAAAAATAATACTTAGTAAGCAATACCTTTTTCTGAGTAACTGAAAGGTAACAGTTTTTTAATTTGGGGAGTGAGTTAGTCACTTACATGAACTGTGCAGCTAAAATAAATAGATAATGCCTACTTATAGGTAGTAAATAGGTAATTTGCTCATTCTTGATTGATCACACATTGTGCTCAATACAAATGGTGGTGGTGGAAACTTACAGCAGGAGGAAAATAAGGAGAATTAATGCCTCACTTCATTTTTACTTCATGTTAGTACACAAAGAAATGACTTCAGTGCTAGCATTTGTGAAGACTCTCAGATTTAAGTAGAGATAGCCACTTTGAGAAATGAGGTAAATAAGTCAAAATACCTAATGAAGTGGAGATAACATAGTCAAGAATTTTCAGGGAAGTGAGAAAATGGAATCGTTTCCCCCTCACCTCCACTTACCAGAGGTTAATCTGTTTAAGCCAGGGAATTCTTAACCCTTGATACATATGTTAAGAGTCTCTAGAGTTCAGTGTAGGTCTTAGCTATAACTCTCTTTCTCAGTTTAAGAAAGCATGAATAAGACTTATTATTGCAGTACATTATATATAACTGATATATAATTTATCAATCAAGACTCAAGAGTATTGAAACTCCTCAACTCAGATCTGTGTAGTGTTTGCAAAGAGGAGAATATTTGATGGCATTAAATTATATAATGTTTCATTTTGGTAGTAATTTACATAAAAAGATTGCAGATTAGCCAATAGCATGTATATTTATATCCTCTGTAGGTCATTGAGGTGAAAGCCAAAAGAAGAACTGGACAACTTAACTTCGTGACTTGTATGAGACAGACTCTGGAAAAACATTATGGAGATAAGCCTGTAGGGATGGGAGGTACTTTCATAATTCAGAAGGGAAAAGTGAAGTCTCACATTATGGTAAGGACCCACGTGTGCACAGATGCATTTATGGGATGTATGTGTACATGTGCTTAAGATCTTAGGATCATATGTTAGGAATTGTACCTTTAGAGATACCCTAAACATGTCCTTTTACTATGATTATACTCGTATTATTTCAAAAATTTAAATAACAAGATGTAAATTAGGGCTAGCTGGTTGACACATTTGGGAGAGCATGGTGCCGGTAACACCAAGGTCAAGGGATTGGATCCTCTTACTGGCCATTCACCAAACCAAGCCAAACACTGTAAGTCATATTGTGAGACAATGCCTAGCAAGATTTCTTTCTTGTTAACATATTAGCACTTCCTTTTCAATGTTTCTTATTAAGATCAAGATAAACTCTAGTATAAACTTTAAAAACTCCTTTTTATTTTCATTACCAGAATCCCAAACTCAATACATAATAGACTTTGCTATTAAGATGGTTGTGTGTTGGGGGAAAGAAATATTCATCATAAATGTTATAATCAAGAGGGCTGGCCAGATAGCTAGCTCAATTTGTTAGTGCATGCTGTTATAATAACAAGGTCAAGGGTTTGGAGCCATGTGCCAAGAAATGGACTAAATATATGTTTATGAGACATTATTGGTGGAATACTATATGAAGCCAGTCTCAGAGTATTCAGGACTTTTTTATTTTACAATTTTTGATAGGTGAATGAAGTGTAAAAATGACTTAAACTTAATTTTTATTTTATTAGTAAAGCCATCAGAAAATGCTTTGTTTTGGGCCGGCCCGGTGGCGCACTGGAGAGTGTGCCGCCTGGGAGCACGGCGGCGCTCCCGCAGAGGGTTCGGATCCCATGTGGAGACCGGTTCCTGCTCACTGGTTGAGCGCAGTGAGGGCGCAACACCGAGGGTTGCGATCCCGTTGCCGGTCAGTAAAAAAGACAAAAAGGAAAAAAATAATAATAATAATAATAATTTTGGGCTGGCCCGGTGGCTCACTGCTACAGTGCGCCACTTGGGAGTGCGGCGGCGCTCCCGCCGAGGGTTCGGATCCCACATACAGACCGGTTACTCACTGGCTGAGCGAGGTGCGGGCGCAACACCGAGGGTTGCGATCCCGTTGCCGGTCCCGGTCCGGTACGGGTGCGACACTGAGGGTTGCGATCCATTGCCGGTCACGAAAAAAGACAAAAAGGAAAAAAAAAAAAAGAAAATGCTTTGTTTTAATGTTTTTCATCTTGGTTGTTTTAAATGGCAAGCTAGTTAATCCTGCATAGAGAGAGCATTTGTGAACCTATTTAATTGCTTTTCCAAATTATTAACAAGAGAATTATAGATAAATCTATTTGTAAATAGCAAATGATTATAGGATTGAATCATGATGTAGCAGAATTTTATATCAAGAAGCTTATATTTTATTTTGTTCTTAATCAAAATTAACTATCTTCAAAAGTACATAAGAACACTCATTTCTTCCTAATTCCCGGGTATATATATTTCATTTGAGTGAACTGTGAACCTGTCACCCTTAAAATTAATTCTTCAGCTACTTATAATTTCATCACATGCATTTGGTAACTCTTATCAGGAGCAAACAGGCAAATGTTACCATGAATAATACTATACATTTATATTTGCAAATGCATTTAATTTTAAGAAAGAGTAAAAACCAAGGAAAATGAAGCAATGGATTTCTATCCACTTTTTTTTTTTTAATTGTGGCAAAATATACACACCTAAAATTTGCCATGTCAACAATTTTTAACTGTACGAGTCGGTGGCATTAAGTATCTTCATGTTATTGTGCAACCATCTCCACCATACATCTCCAGAACTTTTCTCATATTGCAAAACTGAAACTTTATGTCTATTAAATAGTAACTCCCTATTACCTTCTCCAGCAACCACTATTCTACTTTCTGCCTCTATGAATTTGACTATTCTAGGTACCTCGTATAAGTAGAATCATACTGTATTTTTCCTTTTGTGAATGGTTTATTTCACATAGCATAATGTCATGAGGGTTTATCCATGTTGTAGCATGTATCAGAATTTCCTGTCTTCTTAAGGCTGAATAATATTCCATTGTAGGTATAAACCACATTTTGTTTATCCATTCTTCTATCAATTGACACTAGGGTTGCTTCCACCTTTTGGCTGTTGTGAATAATGCCACTATGAACATGAGTGTGCAATTATCTCTTCAAGACCCTGCTTTCAGTTCTTTTGGGTATGTACCCAGAAGTAGAATTGCTAGATTATATGATAATTTTATGTTTAATTTTCTGAGGAACTGTCATACCATTTTCCACAGTGACTGCACCATTTTACATTTCCATCAGCAATGCACAAGGGTTTCAATTTCTGCACATCCTAGCCAACATTTGTTAATTTTTTATAATAGCCATCCTATTGTATGTGAAGTGGTATGTCATTGTGGTTTTGATTTGCACTTCTCTAATGATTAGTGATGATGAGCATCTTTTCACATTATTGTGAATTATTTTCCTCTTACTGGAATATTTATATATCCTCTTCGGAGAAATGTCTTTTCAAGTCCTTTGCCCATTTTCTAATTGGGCTGTTTGCTTTTTATTGTTGTTAAATTGTAGGAGTTCTTTATATATTCTGGATATTAACCCCTTGTCAGATATACAATTTGCAAATAATTTCTTCCATTCCATGGGTTGACATGTCACTCTGTTCATAGTACCCTCTACACAGAAATTTTTTAATTTCAATGTAATCCAATTTATTTTTGTTGTTGCCTGTGCTTTCAGTGTCATATCTGAGAAATCATGGCTAAATTCAATGTCATGAAACTTTTTCCCTACATTTTCTTTTAAAGGTTTTAGCTCTTGCATTTAGATCTTTGATTCATTTTGAGTTCATTTCTGTGTATGGTGAAAGGTGAGAGTCCACCTTTATTCTTAGAATGTGGATATCCAGTTTTCTCTGGACCATTTGTTGAAAAGACTGTCCTTTCCTCACTGAATGGTGTTGGCACCCTTGTTGAAAATGTTTCACCATATATGCAAGGGTTATTTCTGGGCTTTCCATTCTATTCCATTGGTCTGCATGTCTATGTTGATGCCACTACTGCACTGTTCTGATTACTGTAGCTTTGTAGTAAGTTTTGAAGTCTAGAAGTGTGAGACCTCTAACTGCTTCTTTTTCAAGATTATTTTCGCTATTCAGGGTCCCTTGAGATTCCATATAAATTTTAGGATAGATTTCTTTATTTCTGCAAAAACAGTCATTGAGATTTCAATAGGGATTGCATTGAATCTTTAGATTGCTTTGGGTAGTATTAACATCTTAACAGTATTAAGTCATCTGATTCCCAAACACAGGATGTCTTTCCATTTATTGGAGGCATCTTTAATTTCTTTCAGCAGTGTTTTGTAGTTTTTAGTGTACAAGTCTTTCACCTTCTTGGTTACGTTTTTTCCTAAGTATTTTATTCTTTTTGATGCTTCTACCCGTTTTTGGTGCTTTGCTTTTTTCCCCCATTACTGGTAGAAAGTAATGAGATTTAAGATTAGGATGGGGACATATACACAGGAAAACTGAGAAGCTATGAAAAATAAAAAGAGATGAATAGACTCCATAAGTTTTAGTTTGTACACATTGATTTATCCTTTTGAAAACTAGGGTGTATAACTTCTTTGACAAAAATAGTGGAATGTATAAGAAGGCTTAAAATTTTTAACTTAATAAAATTATATATTTTTCAAAATTTTAGTTCTCAATTAATGTTCAGTATGTTTACCTGCTTAACGATCTTTTATTCTAGCCGGCAGAATTTTCTTCCTGCCCATTGAACTCTGAAGAAGAGATAAATAAATGGTTGCATTTTTACGAGATGAAGGCTCCTTTGGTTTGTCTACCAGTTTTTGTCTCCAGAGACCCAGTAAGTCTGTGACTTTCTTTTATAATGCAGTATACTGCAGTGATAATGCTTAATTTTTAGGATATTCTTTTAGAATTAGGCACATTTTGTGTTATTTAAAAAGTAGGATAGTCTCTAGAATTATCTTGAAAGATAAGAGAGGAGGTGGCTCACCACTCTGAGTTAGGCAGAGCAGATTTTACCTTTGAGAAAGTAAAGGCACAGGCATTTTATTATTTTTAATTTTTTTAAAAAAGACAACTTGTAAGGGGATCTTAACCCTTGTCTTGGTGTTGTCAGCACCACGCTCTCCCAAGTGAGCTAAGTGGCCATCCCTATACAGGATCTGAACCCATGGCCTTGGTGTTATCAGCACCGCACTCCCGAGTGAGCCACGAGCCGGCCCTGGCACAGGCATTTTAAATGACACACAAATTCATTTTATTAAATAGTAAAATCACAACTAGGATTCAAGTTTCCTATCTTATTTGGTGTTCTTTATATTTGAATACTATACATACACACAAAAAAAAATAGTATAGGGGCTGGCTGGTTTAGTTGGTTAGAGCATGGTGCTGATAACACCAAGATCCAGGGTTTGATCCCTATACCGGCCAGCCGCCAAAAACAAAACAACAAAAAAACAAATAACAGAAATATTATAATATAGACCAATTCAAAGCAATTACCTACCAAAATACTGGTCATATCTTTTGATCGTGTGATTACATGTCTAGGATTTTATGCTTAAATATATGCATAATGGTGTAAAATGATTAGTTAAAAGGTTATTCTTGACAGCATTATTATAATAGCAGAAGAATTGGAAATAATGTAAATGTCAGTTGGAGGAGTTATGTACGTACAATGGAATACTATATAGGTATAAAAGGTTGAGGAATCTCTTTTATGATCTGATATACAAAGATCTCAAAGGTGTATTGTATTTTTGGGGGGGTGGGCTGTGGTTAGCTAGTATGGGGCAAAGCTATATTGTTAAGTGGGGAAAAAAGCAATATGCAGAACCACATGTACATAGTGCTACAATTTGAGTTTAAAAAAAAAAAAAGTAGATATTTCTGGAAGGATATACAAGAAACTGCTTACATTGGTTGCCTGCAGGGAAGGAAAGAAATTGGTGGGGCAAGAGAGGGGAAGCCACATTTTACTGAATATATCCTTTTGCACCCTTTGAATTTGGAATCATGTGAATATATTACCTATTTAAAATAAAATGAAAACGATTTTAACATAAATAAAAAAAAGTTCTCCCTCCCCCTTAAACAAATTCTAATTAAAATAATTTGACTACTAACAGATTGCTTGTCTGTTGTCCTAGGGGTTTGATTTGCGACTAGAGCACACTCATTTTTTTAGTCATCATGGAGAAGGTGGACACTACCATTATGACATTACTCCAGACATAGTGGAATATCTTGGATACTTCTTACCTGCAGAGTTTCTCTATCGCATTGATCAACCAAAAGAGACCCATTCAATTGGGCGAGATTAAATCAGCTGATACTCTTTTAGAAAAAGAAACAACTAAGGTTAACTAATTGATACTAATATAAAATTCAATAGAAATGCTTTTTATTACTTAACCATTTTTTTGGCCTTTAAAGTGAAAGGGATATGTTGACGTTGTATTCTATTTCATGGATCTGTCTGAAAGAGATTATTGAGAACAAAGATACCTAATTGGGATGGTCTTCATTTTTTTTTTTTTTATACATACATACATTTATTGAACCAACTTCATTATGTTCTTATTCTGTAATACCAGCAAAATCAATCTTATGTTTATTCTTCAAGTACAAACTAATCAGGAATCGTGTAATTATTCCTACTGTCTAACAGTAATAACTTACATTCATGTAACATTATTAAATTTTTCAAATTTGTCTCAGAACTGCTGAGTGGATGTTTCTGGGTAGTAAAAAAAAAAAAATCAGTGTTTAGAAATGTTGATAGCTGTGAATCTTTGTACTGAATTTTAGAAATCATAGTATACTTTTTTCATGGAACAAGGTGGGCAGGGAAGCCCTTCATCTTTTGGGTTAAATTAAACCATACTCAGAATTTTGCAGTTTGCCTTTCAGAGTCATTAGAAACTAGTTGGTATGATTCCTCCTTTGTTTGGATTGCCAGTTAGAAGCAGTTTGTACTTTGCTGGTTCTTTGCAAGAGGAGAAAGGAAAAGAAACAGCATTAAAATACAACACTGAAGTGAGTGTACTTTTATTTATAAGTGAGGCTATTGCTAAACATGACCACTGTCCTTGTGAAATATAAAATTATACTCTTAATGATTGTAATGGTTGAAATTTTCTTTGTTCTTCTATAATAATCATTAGCCAGAAATCAAGTCTCTAACCTTGCCAGTGCCAGCAATGTGCAAGTTTAGGAGTTCTTTAGTATTAAGGACATATCTTCAAATAATATTTTTTGATTGCCTACTTTGTATATTAGCTATAACATCTCTTGTGAGGATAAATTCCTAAATATTTCTTTTAAGTAAGCACTATTTTAAAGCAAAAAGAAAGAATTTTATATTTATAATCTGATATTGTTTCTTTTTAATATTTTGTCTCCAGACAAAAGTAATATTAGTATTCTTTCACTTAACAAATATATATTGAACACGTACCCTGCTCTATGGAATGTAAACTCCATGAGGGCAAAGATTTGTTCACTATTGTGTAGACTTGAACAGTGCCTGACCAAAGTAGGCACTCAATAAATATTTGTTGAATCGATGAGTGGGAGGATGATTATGTCAGACACTTCACTAGATGCTGAGATCTATGTAGTGGGAGAAGACAAATAATACCAACAGACATATTTGTTAAGTGCTATGAATAGAAATAAAACAGGGATGGAAATAAAGGAGGATGCTGTTTTGTTGTGTCCATCCCACTCTGAGACAGGATGGACTCCCTACCCAAAATTTGGTTCAGATGTCAAGACTGATGAAGTCACACATACACCAACAGGGTATGAAGGGGTTTATTACTCACATAATGAAGCTTTCTGGGGAGAGCAGGGCAGCTCCTAAGCAGGTCCAAAAATGGCCTGAGAGAAAAGAGACTCTTTTGGGGTTTTTATGGTGCTTAGGGGATGGGGCCAGGGTGATGGTTCTTAAATGCAGTTTGAGTTTCCCACAGGTGTCATGAAAGCCTGGGTGCTCCCTTCTTTATCAGCTTGCCAAAATTTGGGGAGGAAAAAGAGAGGGTAAGGCTTAACAGCTGTCAGCAGTCAAACATCAAGATGTAATCAGATTCTTCATTATACGTGTTACATAGAGAGATCAGGGAAAACTTCTCATAAAGAGACATTAGCAAAGACCTGAAAGAAATGGAGTGAACCATGAAGTTATTTGATAAACATCCTTCCTGGCAGATTCAAAGGCTCAGAGGCAGGAGAGGTCTTGTATGTTCAAGAAACAGCAAGGAGGCCATCGTGAACAAAATAGCATCACTTGACTTTGGAGCTAACATCTAATGCAACAAATATATACTTTACAATATATACATATATATTCACAAAATTATAAGTTAATGTCATATTCACTTTAAAATTAGGAATTTGACAGGGATGCCCAATATTGTTAACTATTGGAGGCTCTGGCCAGGAAAAAAGGAAGAACAGGTGTAAGGTAAATGCAGGACATAGACCTATCCACCCTTGCCACGCATGCCAGAGTTCCCCTTCCCCCTGGGAAACTACCCCTGGTCAAGGTAGTTTATCCAAGGAAAGGCACGTCTCCTTTAAGACAAATGGAAGACAGTAGAAAGCAGGAGCCCAGAGTAAATAAATTAGCATATAAATGGAGTTAGAATACTAGTGTTAACTACTCTGGTGCCAGGAGGGGTTAATTTATCCAGCCAGATCTCCTGCAAGCTCTGAGTTGGGTGAGGGTCTACACATAAGCATGCAAATGATTTACACCTCTACTTTGATCTGTTCACTGTATGACTGTTGTATGTACCCTATGGCAGTGTGAATTTCTAGCTGACCGGCCGCCATCAGCACCTCCTGTAAGTCTACTAAACCGGTGTCTCTACCTATTGCAATATTGGGTGAGTTTCTCTGGAATAGGTGAACACCACACAAGTGCCCTTTCAGATTTGGGGCTCCACGATACAACGGGTATAATGATTAAAAAGGAAGAAAAAAATTTTTTTTTTTAGCAGAAAACAAGTTCACTTCATAAAAAACCAGATAGAATCTCTAGTGAAATTAATTATTAAATTGAGTTCAAAAAAGTTCCTAAATATAGTCAGTATACAGTAATGAGTTGTATTTCTTTATACCAACAAGAAAGTTAGAAATATAAATTTGAAGAGATATCAGTTACAATGTTATCAAAAGTAATCAGCAATATTTTTATTTAACAAAGAATATATATAACCTTTATGGAGAAAATTATAAAACTATTGGAAACTTAAAGAAATACTAAATAGTTCATATCTAGGAAGATATACTCTCATAGAAGTATCAATTTTCAAATCTCTAAATTCAATTTAATGCCAGTCTAATCCCAGTAGAGTTTTTCACAGAACCTTACCAGTTGATTCTAAAATATATGATCTAGGGGCTAGCCAGTTAGATCAGTTGATTAGAGCGTGGTGCTGAGAATACCAAGGTCCAGGGTTTGATCCCTGTACTGGCCAGCCACAAAAACATAAGTAAAAAATAATAAAATATGAGCTAGCAAAGGGCCAAGATAACCAAACATAATTTGAAGATAAGGTCAGGGTGATTTGATATATATATCAAAATTTATTATAAACTTATTATAAGTAAGATGGTGTGGTTTTGGTACAGTGATAGATAATCAAACCAGTAGAGCAGAAAACCAAGGCCAGAAACAGATCCTTGTATATAGAGACTTTTTTTTTTTTCCTTTTTGTCTTTTTTCGTGACCGGCAACGGAATCGCAACCCTCGGTGTCGCGTCTGCACGGCGCTCAGCTAGTGAGCGGACCGGTCTCTATATGGGATCCGAACCCTCGGCGGGAGCGCCACCGCACTCCCGCGCTCAGCTAGTGAGCGGACCGGTCTCTATATGGGATCCGAACCCTCGGCGGGAGCACTACCGCACTCCCAAGCACTGCACTCTACCGAGTGCGCCACCGGGCTGGCCCGAGACTTGTTTTTTTGACAGAGATGGCATTGCAGATCAATGAGGAAAAGAAAAGGTATTCAAATAGTGCTGGCACAACCAGTTATTTATATGGAAAAATAGAATTGGACTCAATACCAGATAAATTAAAGACCTAAATGTGAACATTAAAACTTTACAAGATTTAGAAGAAAATATAGGAAGATATCCTTATTACTTTGGGTTATGAAAGAATTTCCTAAAGAACGTAAGGTACAAACTATAAAAGAAAAGATAGAAAAACTGGACCTGACAACATTAAAATGTAAAGCTTATGTTGTCAAACTATAGCTAAAAAAGGAAGAAAGGAAGACAGTCTGAGAGAATATATTTTCAAAACATATCTGATGAAATTTAGCTAGTATTCAGGATGCATTAAAAACATCTACACTGGCCGGCCCGGTGGCACACTGCTGCAGTGCGCCGCTTGAGAGCGCGGCGGCGCTCCCGCGGAGGGTTCGGATCCCACATACAGACCGGTTCCTGCTCACTGGCTGAGCGAGGTGTGGGCGCAACACTGAGGGTTGCGATCCGTTGCTGGACACGAAAAAAGACAAAAAAAAAAAAAAAAAAATCTACAAATCAATAAGGAAAAGACAAAAAATAGGCAAAAAGTATGAACTTGCATCATTTGGCAGAAGAGGAAGACCCAATGGCCAATGTTAAATGTTAAGATTTTTATTTCTAGTAATAGTGAATAAGAAAATCCAGACAAACTATCTCACTAAAGACAATTTTAAAAGCTGGAAAAATCTAAAAAGTACCTTACTGAAGATATTGACGAGTTAAGATAGTGAAGGACTGCTAAGCCAGTATCTGGGAGAGAATGGAAGCCCAGCCTACCCCCAGGACCTACAGATGCTTCAGCAAGTATGAATGATTATTGTTTTAAGCCTGTACTTCTGTGGTGCTTTATTACACAGCAATAGGCGACGTACGTAAAAAGAAATATATGAAAATGATAAATTTTGATTAACTTGAGGAGGGAGGGAGATGTAAAGTAGGATGAGTACAAAGGAGCTTCAACTGTACCAATAATGCTTTTATTTCTTAAGTTGGCTGTGAATACAGATGTTTGTTGTTACCTTCTTTTTAACTCATAGGTATAAAGGATGTATTATCATTAATCTCCTTTTTGGAAATATGTTCTTTTGTACTTAACTTTTCATATGTTTTCTCAAAATATCTTTTAAGTTTATAACTAAAGAATTAATGGTAATTTAGTAATTAATTTAATGTTCAATTATTTTAAAATTAAATATTTCCCTCCAGTTTTCTTGAGTTGACTAGAATTCTTTTCTGACATCCTGACATCCTATTTCTGTATATAATACCTTTTTTTCCCTAAGGAGTTACCGTCTGTATTTTCAGTGATCTCCAGTCATGGTATGTTGGAAGTGGTGGACAGTAGAGGAGGAGGGATGACTGTATTGGGTAGAGATATCCTATTTGCCTTTGGGAAGGATGGGAAAATGTAAATGACAGTATACTATGAGATGTTCTTCTGTGAAATGTATTGCAATATCTATGTACTAAGTAAAATTGGATCATGGTATACCAACTTCTTTGTCTTAGATACTACTGAATTCCTATAAGGCGGCAGAGAGTTCTGCATTCAGTAAGAGAGAAAAGTGTAAAATTTCAGAAAGGAACCTGTTCCAAACAAGATGCCAGAAGATGAGTTAAGTTATTGAAAGGAATCACAGCCCTCAGGGAAAGTGAGCTATACTCTTGTAGACTTGCTATG